GAAGAAATGAAGTTCGATCAATAATTAATAGAGAAATAATAAGAATATGGCAACAAAGATGGGAAAGTAGCAGTACAGGTAGGTGGTATTATAGTATTGTAAAATCAGTACAAAGAATCGTGCTATGGAAGACATAGAAAGGAAGAGGTAATGATTTCTAGACTAAGGCTGGGTCATACAGGGTTAAAATCAACACTGGCATTAATGGGAAAGCATGGAAATGGTATGTGTGATGAATGTGGTGTTATTGAAACAGTAGAACATGTGTTTTTTAAGTGTAGTAAATATGAAGAACAGCGTAGGGGTCTTTTTAGTAATATAAAGAACAGGCCAGTGAGTATCATGGATCTATTAGGTAAGGGTTTGAGTGATAGACAGAGGTTTAAGGACGTGATAACTTTTTTAGAGCTTACAGGGCTAGATCACAGGATCTAGAGCCTGAGGAGGAAGAGCAACTCTGGTCATCCTGGAGGTTGAGGAGCTCGTGTGGAAGCTGGAGGAGCTGAACACGCAGCGTCAGCTGAAGCTCGGGCTCTGAAACTCTGGAATGGTAAAGTTTTTTTTTTTTTTTTTTTTTTTTTATCAGATCCATTACTCAAGTGCGCAAGGTAAACAGTAGGTGGCGGTAATACTCCAAAGGAGTGAACGGTCATAAAACGAAAAGAAGAAGAAGAAGAAGAAGTTCCTCAGTGGGAAGTTTTGTGTTGCGGCATTGAATTATCTCGTAAAAATTAAAAGCTTTGGATCAACTCTTCCTTCAGTTTCTTTGTTAGCAGAGTGTTGGGAGTTTAGTAAGGGTGAGAGTAGACTAAATAGGTATAGTGTTCTATATTCTGTTAAGACATACGCAGAGGAGCTTAAGCTTAATGAAAAGGAAATGGTGCCTTCTGTCTACTGGCCACCTATCCCTCCTTGGTTACTGCCTGAGGCTGATGTAGACATATCTATTAAAAATGTAATAAAGGAAGGAAGTGTAGGAAATGTTGATCATTATGTACAAGAACATCTTAGGAAAGTATGGAATAGCTACATAGATATTTATACAGATGGATCTAGAGACCCTGAGAGTAAGAAAGTGGGTTTTGGTTTTTATGTTCCTCATTTTAATGTTAGACAGAGTTATAGATTGCCTGATGGTCTGTCAATCTTCACAGCTGAACTGGTAGCAATCATAGCGGCTTTGTGGTGGGTGGAAGAAGGTGGGGTGGAGAAAGCCATAATTTGCTCTGATTCACTATCTGGCTTGATGGGGATAGGGGGTGAGAGAAGAGGGGCTAGGTTGGATTTAGTCGGGGAGATTTTAATAAGGGTTCATAGATTAGAGAGGCGGGGATGTAGTTAGTGATGTTAGGTCTGACACCGACGCTCCGAAGCTTGCTTCAAACTCGATCGGTCCTTGCAATGAACCACTGCTTCGGAGCTTGTATCATTACGTCACTAGTCACGTGAAAATGACGTCTGAAGCAAACACACTGGTTCACTCCTGTAGTGAACCATCTGACTGCTTTGACAGCCCGATCCAGTGTTGACAGATTTGAAACCTGGCGGCTGTATTTCTTATAAAAGTGAAGCCAAACCATGGCAACACCGTGGGTTGTAGTTGTCCGTGTTTGGATTGGCGTTATTGTTGAGGAGATAGGATTTTATTTTGTATTATTAATTAGAGAACATATGAACATTGTTACATAAAAACATGCATCAAAGACAGAAACTTCAAAACCCCTCTGCTACATTACACAAGTACAACCAGTTACACAAGCACCTCCTTTTCAACATACAAAAATATCAGTCCCACCAGTTAAGTTATAGAGTTCTGCTTCCTACAGCTAAACAAGATAAAGCTTTCACACATGTTGCTGCCCTGCTAAAAAAAACTATAGAAAACATTACAGAAATTCTATTGGATTTAATGGTTTACATTATGGAATTTTATTGGTTTTCATAGGAATTTTATTGGTTGTAATGGGAATTATAGTGGTCTCTGTGGGTCTCTACTGATATGTGTTGGGTTATATTGGTAGGGGCATTAAATCCTAATGGAATATGTCCCAAACACACTACAAAAAAGACATTCTTTTATTTTATACTTTTATTTATTCTTTTATATTTTATTCTATTATCATTTTAATAGAAACCATTAGAATTTCTGTGATGGTTTCCAACTTTTTTTAAGCTGGTCTGATCTTCTGTCTTTGTCTAAAGAAATAATTACACACACACATTATGCTTAATGTTTTATTATCAAGGTGAACACATGAAATTCATCAGTATCTGTAAACTTCACCTACATGAGTTTCACAGCACTACACTGTTTCAGCTTTGATCGCCTCGGTAAACACGTCATAAACGGGGCGTTAACATAAGCCTACTGGTATTTTATGGTTGTCAGCTTTGTTGCATTACATTTACTTCACCAGGAGATGGTGCTGCAATTTCTATCTGAATGAAGCTTCGAGTAATGAACCATTTTCGACACAATTGTATCAGAAAGCAATAATGCTTCGAAACGCTTCATTTGGCCATCACTAGATGTAGTGTGGGTTTCTTGTGGGTTCCAGCACACGTGGGGGTTGTGGGGAATGAGGCTGCTGATGAGGCTGCTAGGGCAAGTTTAGTTAAGGAAAATGTGGAGGTGGAGGTGCCATTTGGCAGACTGGAGTGCCATAGCATCATTAATGAAAGACTGTCACAGCAATGGCAGTATGAGTGGAGTAAAAACGCTAGCGGGAGGAAGTTATATGATGTAAAACCATTAGTCAACCCTGGGAATATAATTTCCCTTCCTCGGATGGATCAGATTAAATTGGCCAGATTAAGACTGGGTCATTGTGGATTGGCAAGTGGGCTTTTTCTGGTGGGAAAACACAAGGACGGCAAGTGTCAAGTCTGTGGAGTTCAAGAATCTGTCAAACATGTCATCATGTTCTGCCCGAGATATGCTGAGGAAAGGAGACTGTTGTTCATTGGACTAAACGTTCTGGGAGTTGATATAATCTCTGTTAAATCTCTGATGGGAGATGGTCCTAATCAAACAGAGAGAGCACTGGAATTATTTCATTTTCTGAAGACAGCAGGCATATATTGGAAAATAAAGACTAGGGGAGCATTAATGTAATCTGTCTCTATCACCAGTGGGAGGCAGCAATGCACTAACAGTGCCTAGTCTGCCGGAAAGGAATAGAAGAAGAAGAAGAAGTTTTGTGTTGCTCTGGTGAACATCTCTGAGCGTTTCTTCCTGTGGTTTTGTCTTCCCGTGGATTACTCTTGGACTGTTTATTCTCTTCGTGATTGTTTGCTGTCTGTCCTGGACTGTTTTCTACTGTGGACTGATTTATGTAAGTTTGCTGCCTGACTTTATGCCTGTTTTCAGATTACGAGTTTCTTTGTCTCTATGTTGTGTTTGCTGGATAATGACCCTGATTGTACGATCGAAAATTACAATAAAGCTGCAAATGGATCCTCCCTTTGCTGAAGCCTCGTTACAAGTGAAGTTTTGAGTTTATATTATGGAAGTGACATAAAACCGGAATAAGATTATGTTTGTGTTTTTCTGCCAACAATTTGATGTATTTTTGGACTTTAATTAACGCGCGTAAAAAAAAAAAATCTCCACATATCATTTTGGTGGATTGAGTCTGTGGAAATGTCGTTTAAATGGGTTTAGTTTTTATTTTGATGTTAATGTATGTTTTTAGCCATATATGTGACCTGTGTATTAGATTGCAGTTATTGTTTGGGAGGACGGTAATTCATGTATTTTCTCATGAATCCTTCAGCTGAAAGACAGTGAATCAGAAAGTGTGTGTGTGTATTGTCTGTCTTCTGTCAATAAACTGCAGATGTGGTTCATGTGTGTTGCTGGGTGAAATCTGCTATATATTTACAAGACCTTTTTTTGACTAAATTCACTGTGTGTAATTTTGATTTGTATGAAAGTTTATAGACAAAACATTTAGCCTATTATCTGAATATCCAGATTCTCTTGTTTAATTCTATAGTTACCTTCTATACACAAAACATCATTTTCAACGTTAAAAAAAATCATGGCTGATTTTATGAATTTTTGCTGGTAAATAAGCAAATAATCTAGGAATAGAAATGCACTTATATCATAATCTTGTACAGCAGTTGTCGTTCACATATTGACTATTAACAAGAGGATGACAAAACTAACCTTTGGTACATTGATAAGCAGATCTCACTTGTTTTCTGTTATTAAATCAGGGTTTGCTTGAATTCACATTTATCCTCCTTGAACTCATTCTAACAACTTAATGTTTCATATTTCAGACTCGATGGAGGTGAAAGAGCAAAGACAAGAACTGAAGTTAAAGGTGATGATGCTGTAGTTTGTTTCAGCCTGTTGACACCAATAAAACGATTTAATGTGCCAATTTACTGAAGATCTCAGACATCACCATAATGAATGAGCTGAAAACAGGGAACTTTTGGAGACAAAGAGGTTTTTCAGCTGCTCAGTTTAACATGATGGCCCTGTACTTTTTAAATGCAGATTGGATAAAAACACAGTGATCACAGTTCACACCTGCAGTGAAGCCCCTCCCACAACAATTCACCAATAAATACTGGGAATATTCCCATCATCCTACAAGAGAAGGACAAACTTCAGGAGTAGCAGCTGAAATCTGTGTGACTGTTAAAGATGGAGTTTATTAAAGAGGAGATTGAAGACATGAGTGATCCAGAACCATCCAGAATAAAACATGAAGATACTGAGGAACAAATAGGTTGGTGTCCATTCTTGATTCTTCATTGTTGATGCTTTGGTAGATGTGAATTATTAAGCAGTATATGGATGATAAATTAGAGTAATATATCCAAACGATCATAACCTTGTATATAGCATTTGTCAAACATATTTTTACTATATTAACAAGTGAATGACTGAACAAAAAGTGAAAGACCTGATCTCTGTTGCTTTCTGCTATTAAATAAGGGTTCACTTGAACTGATTCAAACTGTATTTCTGTGTATTTTAGACCAGGTGAGAGTGAAAGAGCAAAGACAAGAACTGAATGAAGTGAAGGAGGAACATCGTAACTTTACAATTCAAAGAAGAAAAGCAAAAAAGACGCACACCTGCACTCAGTGTGGAAAGAGTTTCACACATAAAGGAAACCTTAACACACACATGAGAATTCACACTGGAGAGAAACCGTACACATGCACTCAGTGTGGAAAGAGTTTCACACATAAAGGAAACCTTAACAAACACATGAGAATTCACACTGGAGAGAAACCGTATACATGCACTCAGTGTGGAGAGAGTTTTACTCAAGCATCAACTCTCAGTGTTCATCTGCGCATTCACTCTGGAGAAAAACCATTTAACTGTGATCAGTGTGGTAAAGATTTTATTTCATCATCACAACTAAAAGTTCACCTAAATGTTCATTCAGATGAGAAGCCTTATGTGTGTTCTCTCTGTGGAAAGAGTTTTTCATGGCTGGACAGTTTTAAACTGCACCAGAAAACACACAATGAAGTGAGAGATCATGTGTGCTTTGACTGTGGGAAAAGCTTTACTACATCTGAATATCTGAAACAGCACCAAAGAATTCATACTGGAGAAAAACTTTACACGTGCTCATATTGTGACAAGAGTTTCACTCAGTCTACACACCTGAAATCACACGAGCGAGTTCATACTGGAGAGAAGCCGTACGACTGTACTCAGTGTGAGAAGAGTTTTTCTCATTCATCAACTCTCAGTGTTCATCTGCGCATTCACTCTGGAGAAAAACCATTTAACTGTGATCAGTGTGGTAAAGATTTTATTTCATCATCACAACTAAATCAACATCTGAAAGTTCATTCAGGTGAGAAGCCTTATGTGTGTTCTCTCTGTGGAAAGAGTTTTTCACGACCAAACTGTTTTAAATGGCACCAGAAAACACATAATGAAGTGAGAGATTATATGTGCTTTGACTGTGGGAAGAGCTTTACTGCATCTGGTGATCTGAAACTGCATCAACAAATTCATACTGGAGAAAAACCGTACAAGTGCTCATATTGTGACAAGAGTTTCACTCGGTCTGGAAACCTGAAAATACACGAGCGAGTTCATACTGGAGAGAAGCCGTACTACTGTACTCAGTGTGGGAAGAGTTTCACCCAATCAAGTAATCTAGTGACTCATATTAAAAAGCATTGTTCTGTGTCACAGTGAGCAAATGTTTTGTTAGATTCACATAAAGTAAATGTGTTGTTAGTTAATTAACTAATAAACTAGTGTTGCTTTGAAATGCCACAAAAAAAAAAAAAAAATATTTTTAAAAAAGCCGTACGACTGCACTCAGTGTGAGTTTTATATATAAAAAAAGCCTTCTAACTCACATTAAGATATGTCGAAGTCGTCACAATGAGAAACATTTCATTTTCATGTCAAATACATTCAAGTAAATAGTGTGAGATGAACAAAATATGGAGTTGCTTCGAAAAGAGTGGGTCGTGGAGTTTGCATTCAAAGAAACAACAACAAACATAATTCTATGATTTTATGATGCGAGGCTTTTATTTTGAAAGACTAGCATGAAAGCTATTGAGACTTCTGTCAGACTCCATATGTTTCATTAGTTCATGTTAGTATTGTGTATTTACTGTTGCTTCCGTTTCCCCAAAATGCCACTTCACATTATTTCACTTTGGGTTATTGTGTAAATTTTATTTTTGGTGGCTCTACTAACTTTTTTTGTATTAACAAAAAACTACATGATCTGTAAGTCGACAACATGTTTTTACATGACTTCAACTCATCAAAATAAGTTACTTTATTTTTTAAGTTATACAACACGCAACTTATTTAAGTCAGTTTAATGTAATTTAAGTTGAAATGACTTGTTGATTGTACTTAAATTTAAGACTGAAATTTCTTCCCTTTTTTTTTACAGTGTAGTTTGGTATGTTTTTTAAAAGCCTTACATTTATACTGTTTATTCATTCTTATTATTTATGTGTATGTTACCATATTTGTGAAATACATTTATTTGGTTCTCAAAACTCAAGACTTTAGAACCACTGAGAAAACTATAGCTGGACAATAACTTTATTCTAGAGCTGCTGTAAAGCCAATACAATCTGTTACTGTAATTTTCTATTATCACTGTAAAGCTGCTTTGAAACAATCTATTTTTTAAAAGCACTATATATATGAATGTGACTTGACTGACCTTATTTAGTGTCAATAATTATTTTATTTTTTTCTCACTGGATAACTGCTTTGCAAAATCTGCTTGAATAAGACAATATTCATGTAATTTATACTTAACCAATGTTAACTATATTATTCTCTGATTGTACAAAAGTAATTTGCTGTCGTTAGAAAATAATAAAAGCTGTAAAATAAACATACTGAAAAATAGAGTTGGTTGTTTTAAGAAGGCATGAAATGCCATTAAACTGCTGTAGTAAGTTGCAAGTGTGTGCAAATAATGTATTTTTAGTGTTGAGTTTTTTTTTTTTTTACTGTTCCGATTCTGAAACAATTAATTAAAGGCACACTATGTAATAATTGTACCTTAATATAACAGCTTCAAAGTAATTTCGGTGGTAAACAAACTCATAGTAGGGCGAATCATCCTGGTAGTAAAGCACGACGTCACACACATCAACAATCTATAAAGCAGCCTCTATGGAAGACACTAGCACGCATTTCAAAAGTGAATCATGGCAGGGTCGGCGAAGAAAACGAGGTCGGAAGAGTCAAGGAAAAGAAAACGAGAAACTGGCCGCGTGCGGAACCGGACAAAAGTCTCACTCGGTCAGGCTTTCACTCACTGACGAGAGCTAACAAGCAGCAATGGATGCAACAGTGATGCTTGACCTGGCGTTCTTGTTGATGGACTAGTACACATCTTCGGAGGCTATCTGTGCCTGTTTGATGTCCGAAGCTTTGTAACGCGTTGTGTCAGGAGGAAAAATAGGGATAGCTCACAGATGAAGTTATGAAGTTAATCACGGAGGCAATTGGCATCTCACAACTTGCACTTTATTCCCCAATCGAACTCGTGTAACTATCTGTCACACATTCTACTGTCCACAGCGTTACTTGATAAACAAAAATAGGATAAGAATGATAACCCGTATACATGTGGTGTTCGAGGCGCACATAATACAGACTGCCGACAGTTAAACAGAGCGCGCAGCTCTTAAAGGGGCCACACCTTATTTCCTCTGGTTACAGCTTCCATCCTACTGAACAGGTACCGTTATACAGGGGGAGGGGATCAGGCCGTGAGTGCAGAGACATCTCTGTGTGAGTGCTATTTACGACAGTAACGTTACATACAGGTACTCCACAGCGACTCTAGGGGTCGCTGTTTGACAAAAACAGAATTCCTGCATAGTATGCCTTTAAATGTTTAGGTTTTTTTTTTTTGCAAAATAATAATTTGTATATCATCTTTATTTTGTTGTCCACGACAGAAGGAAAATATATATTTTTGTTTATGAATAATATTTTGAGTTCGTTCTGTGAGTGACGTCATTTGTAATGGACCGGGCGCGCGCGCGCTCAGACAGAACAGCCCGTGACTGGAGAGAGTCAGTCAGGTAGGTCTCTGAGTTAAAGAGTGAAAATAGGCTGTATTATGTTAAGTTTAAAGGTTTATGTTAATTATGGAAGTGTACAAAAACCAGAACAAGTTTATGTATGTGCTTTTCTGCCAACAGTTCGATTTATTTTTTTAGTTTTATTAACGCAAGCGTTTGTTTTGCAGCATCCGCACGGTTTTCCCTGTTAATAAAATTCTCCACATATGTTTTTTTTTGGATTGAGTGTGTGGAAATGTCGTTTAGTCTAGTAAATGTGTGTAGCTTTCATTTTGATGTTAAAATGTATATTTATATCCATGTATTAGATGCATTGCAATTATTGTTAGGGAGGATGGTAATTAATGTGTCTTTTCTCATACATCCTTAAGCTGAAAGACAGTAAATCTGAAGGTGTGTGTTTATTGTGTGTCATCTGTCAATAAACTGCAGATGTGGTTAATTTGTGTTGCTAGTTAAAATCTGCTATATATTTAACTTTATAAGTCAAAAAAAGTTGACAACTTGATTCTCATTATTTTCAACAAAAAAAAAAGAATTAAAACAAGGCTGATTTTACTAATTGTTTAGATTATTTTAAATGCATGATGATCGCTGGCTGTTTGACTTATAGTGGGGTAGCGCACATATTAAATAATACCGTTACCGAGGTGATAAAAGCACCAAATTTTACATGAAGCCTCTTTAGGACCTCCTGAATGATTTCAGCCTAGGAGCTCAGTAGGGGTGCACGATATATATCAAATCAATATCGTTATCGCGATATCACGTTGCCTGATATCATTATCGAAAGTCTCGCGATAATTATGCAATATTTTTTTATGCGTCCCGTCCGACATGCAGACGGAGTAACTGAAGGAAAATGAAAATTCAGCGGAAGTACGTAGGGGGGCGGAGCCAGGCTAGCGTGGAGCCTCCGCGGGAACATAAATCAGTGAAGAAATAGGCCGAGTAGGGCTGCACGATTTGGGGAAAATGTCATATTGCGATTACTGAGGTCAATATTGCGATTGCGATATAATAAACAATGGTTTCATGAGTCAATTTGCTTGGTTCTAAAGTAAAATGCACACACAGATTAGTGATAATTCTGAAATGTGTTTTTCTCAACTCAAACTAGCAACAACAACTAAATGATTGATAACACCTATAATGAGCAATAAGCCGAATTATAGGCTTATTTCCCCCCCCCCCCCACCCATTTTAAACATTAATTATAGTCATCCAACATTACAGTGATTCCATCATTACAATTGAAAGCTATCCATTTTTTTTAACTTTTTTTTATTTTATTGAGTGTAAGGAATCTGCTTGGGTCTGATCAGTGGGGAATTTGCATGTCATAATTAATAATTAATAACTAATAATTATTCATACAGATTTGGATCAGCCCAGTCTTACATGTTAATAAATCTCCCATTAAGGGAGGCTTTGTCATTTTACCTGCACAGGTGTATCCCCACAATTAATCACAAATGAATTGTAACTAATTATACAGACCACGTTTTACAAGACAGGTAAAATTAATTAGCTCAATTAATTTATAGAGTTGTGAAAACAAATTCTGTGGCCACAAGAATTAGCTTTCTTGCTCTATAAAGTTTACACATACCCGTCTGAGGTATTTCTGTAAAGAGCACGTAACGTTATCGAAGCATATCAGTGACTTGGGTTATGAGCAACAGGCAATGAGTCAATCAAAAGGATATAATGTATTTAATGAAGCTGAACTACTTAAGCATTTACTACAATGATACATGTATTTACAAACATTAAACACAAACTAAGACGACGCAGGGCGTTTAGACAATTGGTACCCATGTAAACATGAGTTGGAGAGAGAGAGAGAAAGGGAGAAAGTTGGTGAGAGAGTTGGTGAGAGAGAGCGAGGGAGAGAGACAGAGCTGGTGCAATTTCACCTCGACATCAACCCTTCTGAAACAACACGAAAACACCATTGTAAGGCTTCTTAGAAGCTGTAACGGGAATGATACTTGCAAGGAATATGAGTTCTGTGTGTGTCGCGGGCTCCTTGCGCGGTCCGGTCGGCCCGCATGTTGACGAAGGTCCTGTCCTGCTTGCGCGCGTCGTGTGGAGCGCAGCCGCAGCGTTTTTGCACGGCCCGTCCCGGCGCGTGCATGGTTGGCCGCTTGCGCGTGGCCCCTTTGTTCCATGGGGGATCACGTGGCGTTCGTTGGCATTCGGCGCGAGTGTTTGAAAGGCTTAAAGTCTTTGAGGTGACGTTACCCGAGGAAATAGTTCGGCAAAGTCCATTTCCTTTCCTGGGAGACGAACTCGGGAGTAAGTTAAAGAAGAGACGAACTTTAGACGAACAAAAGAAAAGATCCATGGTGGGATCAGATCTCCATGAGGAGATCGCTTGCATCACATGTTTCTCTGAGACGGTCAGACTGCAAGAGCGCGTCCAGAGGGAGGTTCAGTCCTCTTTAGGGGAACTGGAGTCCACACCTCTGAGGTGCGAACTGGCCAATGACATTCAACAGAACTTTTGGCGGCCAAATTCTCTTTGTCTTGTCAAAGTTGAACTATGGCCGTGTCCGCCTCTTTTATGACCAGTCAGAATTTGTCAGAATCATTCCACAAGATGATAAAAACATAGAAAACATACATTTTACTGTAATCTTCTGTATCTGACCAAATCAGT